ATTGGGCTCATAAGAATTAATGTATCTTCCAAATAGATATAATGATCTACAATAATCCATAAACATCCATTTCCTTTTCAATTTATCATCTTTTCTTTGTTAAACCTTTTGTCCACACACAAAATGAAGTATTTTACCTTGATTTACAGTAATAACTTCCTCATTGCTTAGACAGTTAAACCTCGATAAAGTAATGTTCGATAAAGTAATAACCTCGATTATATAATAATTTCTTTCGATCCCGACTTGGGCCAATGGACTAATGTAATAACATCGCTAAATGCATTAAGTAATAAAAAAAATTGAATCCTTAAGGGCCCAATAAAAATATAAAGTAATAATTACTGGATTTCATTGAGAAAAAAAAAATATATATATAGACCAAAATCTTTCAATCAATCAACAATACCCGTACAATAATCATTCCTTTTGAAAATATGCATCTATAGTTGATTGTTTTTTCTTCCCACCTAAACCAAAATGAACCCCATCCTTAACTTTTTGTAGAGCATACATAACTTCCGGAATATTTTGCTCGTGTTGTAGCAAGTAGTTGCTTAAGGTGACTATTGCTTGAAATGCCTTTTTTGACGACACATTTGGGACAATGCTACTATCATTTGGTTCATGATCATTCTCATCATCATTACTGTTCATTACCGATTGAATAATTTCTTCGTTTGTAGGTGATTCCATAACTACATCATTCTTGCTAGGATAGTTCAAAAGATGTTCAACATCCATCACATTTCTATAGTGTAAATTAGAGATGACATCATTTAATCCTTGGATACCTTCATCTAATTCACCAACTTCTGGTTCGGGAGCATTGTTTTCTTCTAACCGAATCTTGCAATGCCGAAAACAATTTGCAATTGTTGTTGTCTTCACATCAAAATTCCAAGCCATGATAGCAAAATTAATGGTATTCAAAATATTAATTTTTTTAGGATTTGGTGCTTCAACCTCAAGGCCTTGTAAGATGCTAGAATAAAAATGACGACGATAATGAGCTTTGAATGCTCGAATAACCCAGCATCACATGATTGAATCTTAGACGTTGTGTTAGGAGGTAAGAAAAATAATTCTACATTTCTCAAGCCTTCAACTACCTTTGGATGAGCTGGGCAATTGTCTACTATTAAGAGAACTTTCCTGCCATTCATTCACTTATCAAACCAATCAACAAAATTTTGAAAAAGCAAGCCAGTCATCCAAGCTTTCTTGTTGGATCGATACTTGCAATTAAGATTGTTCATGTTCACATTTTTAAAGCATCTAGAATTTGCATACTTACCAATAACCCAAAGTGATACTTTGTCAGATCCATCACCATTGCAACAAACAACAACAGTAATTCTCTCTTTATCTTTTTTGCGTCCTTCGAGCTGCTTGGTAGCAAGTGAATGATCAGCTTCCAATGGGTAAAATAATCCAGTTTCATCCATATTGTAAATATCCTTCAACTGAAACTAGTCTAGTTTTGATCGTATTCCAGGTAAAGCATTTTCAATGTTCTCTATGATAACTGAACCACTTTCACCAAAATGTCGGTAAAATTTGATTCCATATCTTGCCTTGAAACGTTCTAACCATCCACTAGAAAAGCTGAATCCTGGATTAGTTTCACCATACATTTTTTGCAAAAGCTCTTTTACTTTTTCTTAGATAATTTTTCCAGACATGTTCACTTTATCTTGCCTTTGAAGAAACCACTCATACAAAACTTTCTCTAAATCATGGTATTTTGCCGATTTGTGCCTTTTAACATCTCTATTTTTCATCTCATTTGACAAATATTTCGATGCCCTTTTGGTTCGATATTGTTGATTGACTAATAGTCAAATCAAACTTTTGTTGCACTCATGCTTGCATATCTTTTTGGCGAATAGTTAGATTCTCTTTCTTATACTCACATATTGCACTCCTCATTTTATCGGTTAAAGTTGATTTTTTTACTCCTTTCAAATGATGAGAAGACATTGGAGGAGAAACAAAATATTGTATGTGCTTGGAATATGTCTTCTAAACATCTAGTTTTTATAGGTAAAGACTAAATCTTTTCATTTGCTATGTACGTGAACTTAGTTTTTAGAGACATTAAATTTCACTAGAACTTTTGAACTTCCCTAGATTCAAATAATACTTTGATTAATGTCTTTTGATTTTTCTTACCACATACAATGTACATATTTTATATTGAAAAGCTATCTCTAAAATAATAAATATTTATTTATCGATAAATGAATAATTTATTCATTTATCGATAAATAAATAACCTAGCTAAATGAATATTTTTTTCCGATCCCGAGGGTATTACTTTATCGAGGTTTAACTGTAATTTCAAATGTTCCTAAGTCATGTTTCTTACATCACAACCAATCAAAAGAGAAGCCTGCACATTCAACAAAACACCAATTAATTCATGGAGGATTAAGAAGGAGAATGTTATTTTATGTTAATCACTAGAATACCTCATTGTTGGACAATGGTTTCGATAGAAGATTCATGCTTTTAAGCCGGTGGATGTCAAGTTATTAAAAGGAAGACACTAACAAAGTATAGTATTATATTTGGTTGAAATCTATGTTTTATCATAACCAAAAGTACAATTGAGAGGTATGCATTAGTGACAAAAATGAATATTGATCTTTGTTTAAGAGGACCATCAGAAGACATTAACCTCCAAAGGAAATATAGAGATTCACAAAAGATTTAATCGAAGAAGAAAGTGTACCTCATCCACAAGCGACTCGAATGTAGCAGAGTAGGCAGCAGCATCTTCAGCCAATGCTCCTAGTGAAGAGATAATTACACTCGTCTGGTCCAGTGACTTCAATAGAGACAAGCAATTTATATGTGTACGGGGCTGCAAATAGAGGAATTGGCAACTGCCTAACAGAAGAGACGGCAAAAACTAGTACACAATCTGGAGTAACATATACTTGTAGGGACAACTGCAAAGAATCATAATTGGTTGAAAGATAGAAGCACTCAAACCTCTCTAGTTTTGGGCAATTGCTGTGTGAACTATGGGTAGGGAAAGGCGAAATGTTGAAGGGAGTGTAGTTGAAAATTTAATTTAGGGTTTGGAATGGATTAGGCCTCAATTTGGGCTATTCATCTGGGAATTAAGCGAAAGTGATAGAAAATGGACGACAGAATGCATAGGATCAAAAATGCAAAAAAGAAAAAGAAAAACAGTGGACCCGGCCCCCTATCGTGACCGTCGATCAGAGAGGCTGGCATTGTAGCGTGTTCCTTCATTTGGACACCAACAATTATATATCTCAAAATTGTGTTCCATATATATATATATATAATGTTGGTGGTACATCAGCCACTACCTAATGGTAAGGTGGCAAGAATTTGAATAAAAATCTCGTGAATTTTGAAACAAGGAGCTGGAGGAAAGGATTTCAAATTTTTAAAACAAGTTGGGTCAAAACTAGACCCGGCCCAATTATGTAATGGTAGACGGGAACCCTCATTTCAATTTCCCCCAAATCTGGACCCTCCCCTCAAATAGATTTTCCCCAAATCTCTCCAACAACGGAAATCCTTGGAGGCAAAAACCAAGTTCGATGTCCAGATTCCATCGCCGGCAAAAATCTAAAACTTCTTTCATTTTCACTTTGAAGCCGAGTTCGAAGACCAGAAAGGTGCTGAGTTGAAAAAGTCAGCACGTAGAGCACCACCATTTGAATTCCTAACCTGCAAATGTGGGTTGTTCTGATGTGGAGTTGAATTCCTGACCTACGAATGTGGGTTGTCTGGACTTCGAAAAAGTTAGCACCTTCTGATATTCTGGACTCGGCACCTTTAGGCAGAGCACCGCACTCAACCGTGAACAATACCACCTGATTTTTACAGGACCAAATTATCGTTTTGCGTCTCGACAACTGCTACTTCTTGGTAATATGCTTGACTTATCTTATGCTTCAAACAAAAAAGTAGCTAGTGGATTTGTTCAGGAGTTATTGCACGACCCCGTTATCATGAAATGGATGCTAGTGGAATTGAAGTTGTCATAGGAGATGGTATTAATTTAGGTGGAGAGAGAGATCGGGCTGCCATAGATTTGGCAAAAGTCACCTACAGCTGCCGGAGAATTTGAAAAACTTGTGCTGGGGTAGTTGAGAAGCTTGCTCGGCCTTGCAGAGAGAAAACAACAAACTGCAAGTGGTGGCTACACTGTCTTGCTGTGACTGCCCTTTTTCTGGAGAACATAAATTCTCTTGGTCCTGGTATTTTGTCGTTAGTTTCCCTCCCTATCACTTGTGAGGTGTAGTATGTATTCTTTTAGGTGTAGTGTGTTGTGTATAAGTAGTTGGAGTTCAGTTGGGTGACTGTAAAATTGAGGAAAGAAAGTTTTTGTGGCGAATTAGTGGTCCTAATTAGTGTTCTTCACTTTTGTATGTGGGAAGACACTGTAATCTGATTCACCAATATTAATGAGACTTTAGTATTTGTCCTTTAGTTGTTGGTGTTAATTTTGGTGTTTATTGTGCTGTTGAGTTTGGTGTTCATTTGGGTGGCTGTGAATGTGAACTTATTATTGTAGGAAGAATTAGTTTCTAGTTTTCAATAAACATCAACCCAGGTAAATTGGTGATCTGAATATGCTGGTAGTGGTGAACTGAATTGGCAATACAACTGAAATAAACACCTAAACAAACTAAAATGCTGCTGGTGCTGTTGGTGAACTAAAATGCTGCTAGTGTACTAAAAATGCTGCTGGTATACTAAAATTTATATGCTTCTGGTGAGCTGAAAATGCTGCAATTGTACTAGAATAATAACCAAACATCAATACAATGAAAGTTGATTTATAGACATGCCTCAGACGTTAAGAAGACAGAGTAACTACAAAAGATAGTGGTCATTTTTGTTCAGCTACATAATCATAATCAAAATCAAAAGATGCGGTCATTCTAGATTAATTACAAAACCAAGTGCACAGGTTACAAATAGTGGTCATTTTTGTTCAGCTACATAATCATAATCAAAATCAAAAGATGCGGTCATTCTAGATTAATTACAAAACCAAGTGCACAGGTTACAAAAAAATGCCAAGTGCACAGGTTACAAAAAATGCCAACTGCACAGATTACAAAAAAAAAAATGTCAACTTTACTTCTTGATGGATTATTGCAAACTTCTTATTACTTCCATGTTATCTTGTGTCTCAAACACTTGTGAAGATGCTATGGTCATCACTTGAGCCTCTTGCACTGGTAAGTTGCTTGACACATTGTCATTGGACAAACTACATTTGTTCAAACATGTCGAGTTTTGAGTCACCTGCACGTGTTGTAATATAATTACATTAAAATTGTGACATATGAATAATAGAATTAGTGGTTAATTAATTATGACCTTCACAACATACCTTATTACGACCCCTTGATTTTTTTGTTATCATCTCCAACGAACTTTTCATACGCAGTTTCTTTGAAGCGCCTTTACGTTTTGCACACTTTGGATTGAAAATGTTGAAACTTTCTACATTCCCTCCTCCAAATCCATGTGCAGCCAAGTGATTACGTTTCGATTTTAACAATTCATTCGTCTGCAATTCAACCCACTCCATTAACTGCTTCGAACGGTCTTCATCAACTGCAACCAAGTCAGCCATCTTAGTTAGAGCAGCACACAACTGCTCATATCTCAATTGCTTAGGAGTACACACCAAACCATCATACGTTGTTGCCACCCGCATGTAAGGTCTACTCACGTCTCTCCTCCATCTTCGTAAAATGTACTTTTTCGAAAGTACTGACACCTCATTCCAACTTAAAATTGAGATCACGTGTTTGCAAACGATGCCTCGAAACTCAAACAAATGACAGTTACACACAATCTCGCAGTTGTCTTTACAAAAAGAAACTGTAAATATTTTTGTCTTCCTCCCTTCCTCAAGGATGATATCTTCACGAACCTCGTACTTCGCTATCCCGCATAACTCCTCCGCGGATAGTACTTCACAGTAAATCTTTCCGGTGAATTCTTTTTGAAACTCCTTGAATTTCGAGATTGTATAAACTTCTTGAAATTGCTTTTCCATCTCGTACTTAGTAGCACAGGGAACCATTTGTGAGAATGATCTAAATCAGCTTGAAATTCCTTTTCAACTTTACTTCTCAGAGCCCGTTCGTATTGCTCCACAAATAGCTTTAAAGATGTCTTCGAGTGCACATAGCCATCGAAGAATGCGCTCATACTCTCACTTCGTTGGGTGGTTGACATACCCGCTCAGAATGTAGTTCTCAAATAGCATGGTACCCAACGACTTCGGTTCTCATAAAGTCCGTTCAACCAATCATTATCTTGCAAATGAAAACGTGCAAGCATATTCGACCAACCTTCTTCAAACTCCTCACAAACTAATGTATCGTACATTAAACCGTGAATGACATACAGTATTTCACCCTTTTTGCGATGACCGCCGAACTTTTCTGGCAACTTCTCTAGAGAATGCCATAAACGCCATCTATGCTTAGTATTAGGGAACACAATTGCAATTGCATTTTGCATAGCTCGATCTTGATTTGTAATTATACCACCAGGAACTTGACCCCGCATGCACTCAAGCCATGTCTTAAATAACCAAACAAATGTATTTGTATCTTCATTCGAAACTAATCCACAACCAAATAAAGTTGATTGCCCGTGATGATTCACCCCTACGAAAGGAACGAATGACATATCATACTTATTAGTCAGATAAGTGGTGTCAAAAGTAACTACATCACCGAATTCTTTATATGCTTGCCTGTATCCATTATCCACCCAAAACACATTCCTTAACCGAGACTCCTCATCCAAGTCTATACTGAAATAAAAACTAGGACTGTATGCTTGCATTTTCGAGAAGTAACTCTGTAATGCAGCAGCATCTCCTTCACCAAGTCTTAAACGCCGCACTTTATCAATGAAATTCCTACAGTCTTTCTCAACACAAGTCATGTTCTCGAATCCACCCGCCTCTACTACAGTTGAGTTATAGCTTTTATGCAATGGGATCCCTGCTATGTCATTGACCTCAAGCCATCTTTTAACGTGTGCACTAAGTTCCCGATTGCATCGATATAACCTAGATTTAGATGGGCTTGTCTTATGGTTATGCTCTAACTGCACAACGTTTATTCGCCATATTCCACGAGCATTAGAACACGCTGTCAACCTAGCTCTGCACCCTATTTCAATCGTTGGCGGAGGATTCAAAGAAGTACTTCTATTAGTCTTCCGTCGACCTTCTCGACTACAAGTAAAGCTCACGTATCGAACAACCATGTCATCACCCTTCTTAGAGTTTCTTTTTCTAATAGGGAACCCTATTTCATAAGCATACTTCTTGTAGAATTCAAATAACTCCTTCTCACTGTCAAATTTCATACCAACCTTTGGAACCAAAATCTCATTTTCTATTCCCAACCTATCATCAGCCAAACAATCATCACTAACGATCTCGGATGAGTAAACCTCCATTCCTGCATTTGAGCAATTAAATATCTCAGATTCAAATATTTAATTAACTAAAATTTCATACAAATTGAAAAATATTGCATTCCAAATAACTAGTATACTAAGTTACCACTTTTCACATTGCAGTCTACCATGTTGTCGGACGGATGCTCAATTTGTTGGTTACTTTCGGTCTGCTTATATATAGCAGAGGATGGAGATGAAGAAAACGTATAAAAAGGAAGGAGAACTATTTCACAAGCTTGCTGAAAAATATCAAAACTTTCACAAAAAAGAAAGCAATGTTATTTTACCATTGCTGCAGTACTCACCGTGGAGTTCCTCGCCTTCGACTCCCTCACCATCGACTTCATCGCTATCCATACTGGGTTGAATCTCGTTGCCTGGCTTCCCTCTTCTACAGTTGTTTGTCGATGTGAATGAGGAAAATGTGAAGTTTGAATAGGGGAAATGTGAAGAGAACGATTGTTATGGCTGCCCTCCCTCTACAATCGATTAATGTCGATCTCCCTAATGTTCAGCTTGAAGGAGGGAAATTGGAAGGGAGGGAACTGTGAATATTACGAGGGTTTCCATTTTGGGTTCAATTTTTGCTGTTTTTTTATTTTTTGAAAAAAAAAGGTAAAAAAACATGGAGGAGGAGATTATGGCAAAATCTCCTCAAAATCTCGCCATTAGGTACAACATTAGGTAAATGCTAATGTACCACCAGCATTATTGTGTGTGTGTGTGTGTGTATATATATATATATATATATATATATATATATATATTATTTTAAATTAATTACAAATTAGTATTAAAAATGATACTTTTATTACCAATAAGAAACTAATAATTTTTTGTATATTTTTATTATCAATAGTACTCAACCAAAGTATGGTTGCTGATTCAAAAGTGCATGTTTCCATCAACCAACACAAATATGTTCATATGTCGGTAAAAAGTTCTATACTAAATTCTTTAACGATAAAAATCAATGATGATTGCTAAAACCAATTCTTGATCGCTAATTAATTTTTCAAAAATATCACTAGCCAAAAAATTATATATGACATCCTTCAGCGACAAAATCAAATTTGGTTGATAATGCATATAGTCAACAACAAATCCTTGTTTGGTTGCTGAAACAATCTTCCCTAGATAAAATATTGGTCGTTGCATCATTATTACTACCGACCAAATAAATTGGTCACTATAACTTCAAATTAAAACGACTATTTCTATTCTCTTAGGGTCTTAGCGACCAATCTGTGGATGGTTGCTGAAACATTCCTCCAACGACCATAAATTGGTCGCTCTATCATTACTTCCGACTATATTATAGTGGTCACAAAATCGAAAAAAAAAGAGTTGTGATACATGTACAAACATATTCGTACTAAAAATTTTACACACTCTCACAACAGAATGGTAGGGACCACATGGCCGAAGTTTTTAATGCAAGGGGGGCCCGCATGCATGTGAGAGTGCGTAAACCATTTTGTTAATCAAATTTTGTACAAATAGTTTTATGCAAAAAAAAAAGGCGGGATCGATTCCCTCCAATGGCTTCAACAACCAATCTGTGTATGGTTGCTGAAAGTGCCTGCCGTGCTAAAAAAAAAGTGTGCTTTTTGCTGCCTATTTATTAGGACCAAATAGTTTTTGGTCGCTAAAACATAGAATCACCAACCATTTTTTTGGTTGCAATAGGGCACAAGAAAACTAATCACATCCTAACTGACAAAAATTTTACCAACCAACAATTGTTCGGTAAAGGTGACTTATAGCAACCATTATTTGGTCGCTAAATCTTTGGTTTGGTGGTGCCTTTTTTTTGGTGGTTGTCAATTAGTCTAGTGACTATGATATTATTTCCAAATACAGAAAGGTACAAATCTAGATCAAAGCCAGTGTGAGCAAGAGTAAAGAACAAAAATGCCAATATTATGTCAATACTAATCAATGGTCATCCAAGGAAATGTCATAATCATATGTGGAAATTACATAAACTAATAAAGATTCCATTTCATAAATCATACACTAAGTTTACTCTTTCAAAAATCAGAATTTTTTATTAATTAATATATGTAAAAATTAATTAATTTATCTATACAATTTCAAACCCTAGATTATTTCACTCACCCCCTCTCTCTCTCTCTCTCTCTCTCTCTCTCTCTCTCTCTCTCTCTCTCTCTATTGGAAACGACGTCGTCGGAGATCGCTCCCACAAATCGACCATCACCAGACAAGCAATCGATGCTACAGATCAAGTAGGAGAAAAGAAGGGGTGATAGTGCTGGTGTGAGTGTGAGGTAGAGGCAGAGGCAGAGGCGAATCGTAATCATTGTTTGTGGCAGCGGTGATGGTACGATGCGGTAGTGGTTATGTGGTGGGTTTTCGATTTTTGATGGTCGACGGCGGAGGTCGATCGTTGCAGTTGTGTATTGTGCAGTGCATGTGGTGATTTTGTAGTGGATCGTCACAGTATTGTGGGTTGGATCGTCGTAGTTTCTGGTGGTCGATCGTCGAGGCCGTTGCAAAGTTTTGTTTCTCTTTCTTTTTTTTGATTTTGCAGTGGTTAGAATTGTTGGTAGGGGTCGTGGTTGTGGTGTGATGAGACGGTGCAGGTGGTGGTGGGTATAGAGATTTTGTGGTGGTGTTGACGGTGGCATTGTTGGTTAGGTTGTGTTGGTTGATTGTGTTTGGGTGCTATAATGGTGGTCTTGCAGTCATGGCTATGGTTGTTGTGGTAGTGGTTTTATGGTACGATGGTGGTGGTAGTCGTGGTGTGTAGTGCGACGGTGGTGATGGTGGTGTGCAGTTCATATTTTTGTTTCAAATTTTCTGATGCGTTAACGGTAGTGCGGTGGAGGTGTTTGTGGTAGTGGTGCGGTGGTGGTTCAAGTGGTTGATAGTGGTGAGGCATTGGTTTTGGTTGTTGAAGTGGTGGTGGTGGCAACTTTATTTTGAGGGTAGCGGGGTGAAACTAGTGATAGTGATGGTGGTTGTGGCGGTGGTTATGAGTGGGATGAGATGGGGTTGGATACTTGTGACCAATCATTTGGTAGATTGTCACTAATAATTGGTTAATTGTTAATATGTGATATAAAAATTATAATTGTGACTCACAATTGATTAAATTGTGACCGAAAAATTAATCGTGATCAATTAATCTAATAATTTGTAATAAATAAATAAGTTGTGACCAATAAAAGTTTTGATTCTGTGACTAATGAATAATCTATGACATATAAAATTTTTGATTCGTGACCGAAAAATAATATGTGACCTATAAAATTTCTGATTTGTAATTGAAAAATAAGTTGTGACCAGTAATTTGATAAATTGTGACTAAAAATTAATTCGTAACTAATTAATTTTTTGATTTGTGACCGATTAACAAATCGTGACCTACAAAATTTTTGAATTGTGATTGTAAAATAATTTGTGGCATAAAATTTCTGATTTGTGACCAAAAAATAATACGTGACTAATTAAATTGTTAACTTGTGACTAAATTATATAGATCTGTGACCTAAATATATTTAGTTAATAAATTAATAAAATTATAAATAAATTTTAATTAAAAATCTGATTTTTGAAGTTTGAAACTTATTTTATTGATTTTGAAATGTGTGCTTACGAAATTTTCCCTAATCATATTTATCAATGGATTGGGCTGGAATAGGATTCAAGTATTGAAAACTGTCTCAACCCAATCTCACACTAGCCCCAAATCGTGAATTCTAAGTTGATTTGTGTACATGCTTATTACAAAAAGGTTTCATTTGTATGTTCCAAAATCCGGCTTTATTTTACTTTTTAATAAATAAGAATATACTTTTAATTAATGACTAAAAAGTGGTGACCTTTCTTAAGTGCCCTTTGTTTGAGTGACGCCAATTTTATCTCTCCATGACGCACAAAAGACAAAAATCTTTTCCAATTTTATGACTGTTCAATTCTGACAAACAATTTCCCAACATACATTAGAATTGTGATAATCTTCAAGCGGAAATCCTAACTATATGCTTATGAAATGCATCAGATATCAATTTATAAATCATCATAGCTCCCTAGAACATCATCAAATTCAAGCATACTAGAAGAAAAAAACCCTCCACACTGCACATCCATTTGAGAGCTGAACACATTATCTATAGGATCTAAGAATGAATCTGAACTTGTAGTTGTAGGAGATTCTCCACAAGTACGCATGGAAGAATTGGATTTAGGTAGTCCTCTATCATCAT